AATTGTATACGCATCGAGATTTTGAGATGCCTGTCTAAAAATGTATATTATTATTATATTATSTAGACTTAGCACCGGAATCGCCAGGGTACGGGTTTAAATCCCGTTCAAAAGTCAGATTTTTTTCTGAATCTTATAATTTGCAGCTGCATAAGTTGCTTCATATATCATATACTGGGGAGGATCAGCTCAATTTGATACATTACAACCGCAGTATAAATATTTATTTCATATATATTCTTACACACACACACACACACACACACACACACACACACACATACGCACACGCACACGCACACGCACACGCGCGCACACACACACACACACACGCACACTACAACATGTATATTATGAGATTTTTTGCCGTAATGACATGCTTATTTTCATTGGCGGACAGGCCGATGTGCTGGTTAATACAGCTGGAGAAGACTTGAACTTACAGAATAATGCCTGCGCACGTTCCTTTTGTAAGGCTGCAGGACCGAATTTGCAGAGATATTGTAGCAAGATATCACCAGTGAAAGTGGGAGAAATTGGTGTAACTAAACCAGGTAATCTCCAATGTCAGCACGTATTCCATGCTGTTTGTGGAGACTAGGACAGTGGAAAGGGCGAGAAGGTATGTTTTTATGACTATAAAATAATATTTATGATTAGCATAATTTTAGACTTTGATATAGAGTTTCGCAAGCTGTGATTGGTTGAGCGACTGGTTTTTCAAAGTTTTTCAAAGTTTTCCAGATCGGAAGTAATACTAAAACGTTTTCTTTATCCTGAATATCGACTTTTCGCCTTTGGCGAATAATCGTTAATTGGTATTTTTACACAAGTAAATATAATAAATCCGGCGCGCTCATTTGTCACAATTTAATCTTATGCTTCTACATTTGTCTATTGAAGAAATAGAAAACGCGCACGCGTGCTGTATGCAGTTATAAAGCACGCGGAGGTTGGCAGAACACGAGAGAAGTGTTAGGAGAAGCAAGACGCGTAGCGGAGTGATTCTGGACACTTCTCGAGTGTTCTGGCAATCCCCAAGTGCTTTTTAACTCCAGATAGCACAGCAAGCAAGTTTTTTATTTTTTTTATAAAATACAATTTACAATAACCGATATTTTAGATAGGAATGACGCAACTGAAAGTGCGCGCGCGCGTGCTGTGTTCTCCTATCAAGCACGCGCTTACAATCAATCATAACGCGAGATTTATAACAGTTATTTTATAAAGTGTTGTATATTGTATTGTATCGATATTCACTGAGCATGAAACGAATAATCGTCTTCGTGTTTTTAATAGCGCAATGTCTTAAGCTTACATCCATGTACTCTGTGGCACTCGTCTTGCCATTTTGGTCTTTGGTGCGTGTGATGAATCATTTATATTCGATGCAATTTTTTTCGCCATAATAACAGACCCCAACCACTACAGCCACCTGGGTGTTCACCAAATGGAAAACATTTAATGGCAATCTGTGTTTTAAAAACATTGATGAAACTC